GAGGAGGAGGAGGAGGAGGAGGAAAACGATGAAGACGATGATGCTTCCTTTGGAGGAGATGAAGAAGACTGACAACGACACTGGTACCATCAGCGTAACATAAAAGACATACCAGGACTGGGATTCCCCCACTACACCGAAGTGCAGGGTAACATCTAGCAAGTTGCACAGTTAACTACACTTTGAGCTACAATTCAAGGAATGCTGTTCCCGTTCGTAGTTTCAAGAAAGTAGTTTTTGGAAAATTCATTACCATTAGTAATAAGAAAGAGGTTTCTCCTAGTAAAATGTTTTAACACCCCCCCCCCTCCACCCCCTCCCCTGGACACAATCTTTAAATAGGCCGCCTATGAGATGAAAAAGGTCCAAAACTATATTACATAGAGACATAAAATCCTACCTTGATGAAACCAGGCTCCCTCTCCGGTGAGTCTGAGCTATGAAGTCTATCCTTATTCCACACGGCAGGCATAGACGCGGCGTTGGACGTATCCCCAATGGGCAAGAAATCCGGGACCAGATTGACAGACGACTTGGAGTTGATCATGGCTTCGTCCGAGGTAATGCTGTACTTCCTTACCACGTCTTTCTCGCGCAAGGGGGAGCCCACGGGCTTTCGGCTCTGCAGCACACTGGCCGAACTGGCACTGCGAAATATGTTGGGCTTCCTGCCGGAGCCGCCTCCGCTCGTGGACGTCGGGACGCTGAGGAGGTTGGTGGGTCGCTCCGAAGACGGAGCCGGAGAGGGACCGTGAGGGGTGCCGGGGGCTGATATGACGATGGATTTGGAGGAGGATTTGGACGACCCTGCTGTGGGGCTGAGGGCGACAAACTCGCTGCTATCCTGGGCAGCGGTGTCGGAACCCTTGTAGCACTCCACACTCCCGTCGTCGTCCTCACCTCCAGAGCTATGCTCCTCCCTGCCCTCATCGTCCAGGTTACTCGGGGAGGACAGGAGCGTCTCCGAGCGAGACTTCTGCCGCGCGTCCTCCTCGGAAATGGTCATACCTTTGTGGAAGCCCATCGCTTCCAGCTCTTCTTCCGAGAGGAGGGGAGCACTGTGAGACTGAGGGCTTTCCAAGCTCTGAGGAAACTCCAGCATCTCCCGAGCCCGGTCCCCACTGGGATCACTTTTGGATTTCTGTTTCGTCGACTTCCCATTCTTGCGGTCGGAAACATCGTTATTACTGTCTAACGTAACACAATCAACAACGTCCTGGTATGTAGGTTCGTCCGAAAGTTCACTGGCAAACTGGCTGTCAGCGAGCGACACCTGGCTATGCTGCTTGAGTTCGTCTTCACTGTCCCCTGTCGACTTCAAGGCAGCGAAACCATTTGTGTCCACCGAGCCAGCTTCTTTGTGGGAGGCTTTCATGTGAGGAGGGTGGGTTATGAATCTTGGCGAGGACTTGGGAGCCGTAGACTTGGCGGAATCGCTGCGCCTCTGGAGCCGTTGTTGTCGCGAAGGCTGGTCATCGCTTGGTCTGTGGTCGTCACCGGTGGACTTACTTATCCCCCCGACCCGACCCCGAGTTGCCAGCATGGTGATACCAGACCTCCGCTCTGGGGGAAACCGCTTTGGCGGCTTTGTTGCTGCTAACTGTAAAAACTTTGAGTTCCGAGGAATAGGATGATAGATGTAGGTGCTGACAACTGGAGCAGATGCCTCTCCTCCTTCCCCAATACCTTCGTCGTCCACTGGCTTGTATTTGTCTCCATGGTGACGGTCGTAGTCGTCTTGAGATTTACCGCTGCAGCCTCCTTCGCTGTCCGGAGACTTCTCGCGAATCCCGCCCGCGTAGTCGCTGTCTGGGCTTTTCTCTCGGGCGCCATCGTCTGGTACCTCCGGGGCTGACCTAAAGCTTTCCTCGGAAGAAGCCGTCAAAGGCGACTTCGCACCTTCTGCTTCTGCCTCCTGCTCAGCATCTTCCGGGAACTCTGGTATCTGCTCGTACGTCCGTTCCATGGATCGTCTGTCTGGACTACGTCGAGGGCTCCCGCCCGGAGGAAGGCTCGGCACCGACGCATTGTGTGGTGTCCACTGCTCGCATTTGTTGCCGGAGGGCTGTAACTCGATCGTCCTCGAAACAATGACGACATCTTTCGCTTCGTCCTCCGGCTTCTTCTCGGGTACAGGGGGTTTGGCACCTGTGTTCTTGTTCTTTAGCCTGTCTGTCAGTAGTTTGAGACTGCGGCTCCGATCTCGTGTCAAACCTGACCTTGACTCGTCTGCTACCGGAGACCCAATGCGAGGGGAAGAATTCGGCGAGGTGTTGGTTGACATGGACTTGCCCTTGGAGTGGGGAGACGTGCGGGAGCGGCTGAAGGTTTTCCAGTCCGTCTTTTTCAAGTTCATGATGTCCTCCATGATCGCTTTGATTTCCCCTCGGCCTGGGTCAGTCTTCGCTCGGGGGCTCACAGACCGGCTTCCCGACCCGGCGAAAGGAGGTAGCTTGGGACGCGTCACTTTCGGGGAGAAAGAGCTGGACTTGGAGATAGAGCCAGCCATCTGATCTTCGTCACTCTCCATTGTTGGTGTGCCTTATTTCCACTGATATGACTTTACAATGATTTCCTACTACTTGAGTGCTGCAAAACTCTCACCAACCCAAGTCTTGACTGGTACATCAAAGTGTGAGCCCTGCACAATGCCATGACCAAATACAAACTCATGCTTAATTTTGTAATGACTTGCCTGTATCATTAACTTGTGACCGAATATTTCCCCTTAATTTGAGAACATTGCTTTAGTACCAGTGTCTTTCTTCTGCAGCTCTAGGCGTTACTTGCTCTCATATTCCTTCAATGATGCAGCGACCTGAAAAATAGAAGAAGAAAAAATGTTAAGTCCCACAAAAAAATACTACAACTTACTGGAAATAAACACAAAACATGTGGATTCTAAATTAAGGGCAAAAAAACCACACAATTCAAACTATGCTGACACAATTATCAATCTAAAGGAAGCATGCCCATAAGTCAAGATTTTCTGCAAACTTCCCAGTTTCATGTCAACTAAATTAAGCAATATACTGACAAAGAACTCACTTATATCCCTGCAAACTACTCTGCATAACAGTCAAGAAAGGGAGAGATTAGGGATGCTATGACTAAAAGGCTTAATACTCCGAGGGACGAAATTTTGACAATTTACAAGGCAGACTGCTTTTCCCTGCCGGTCCGGGCCAAGAGCATGTTTTAGAATGGTTTTACGGAACTTGCAACATGAATACTGCCGTAAGCTGACAAAACGCCTTTTTTTAAAATTCACAGCAATTTCGAGAAAAAATGTTTTTTATTTGTCACCATAACCATTCATAAGTAAATAGAGTTTTTCAGAAATTTTAATTTTAATTTATCCAAAAACCAATCATGATTTCACTTTCATTTTTCTCACAAATAGAGTAACGGATCAGGCTTTCGATTAAGCAAATAAAATAATTTGGCGCCAAAATGAAACAAAATGCATTTTGTCAGCTTACATATATATACATATAAGTACAATAGATGTTGGATAGGAAAAAAGGAGCAAACCACATAAGAACACCCACCTACCACCCACTCTTTCAATACATGGTGTATACATAAAATGCTTAGTTTAAGTAAGAGTTTTACGGCACTTGCAACACAATAAGCAATAAGGTCATATAAGTGCCGAAGATTAGAGAGATGAACAAACACAAAAAAGACAGAGGAGAGATCAGGACAATAGATGTTCGATAGGAAACAAGGAGCAAACCACAC